ATAGCAGCAGCAGGCATTTTGGCCATCCATTTCTCAACAGCTTTGAAACTCAAAACCCAAACTTTGAAAAAAAAACTTTGAAACCCAAATATTTTCAATAGGATAAAGTGAAAACCAAACCAAAGCAAGCCTCACCACCAACTAAATGCCCAAATATTTTAGAAATGAAAAAATCCAGTTGATAAGGATAACACCAACCTTAACTGTGGTCTTACTTTCTGACAAGTTTTACAGCACAGTGTAGAAACCACCACGCGCTTCTCGTGCTGTCCTTGCTATACAAATGAACTCCATTAGCTCTCCTTCAAATGCTTCCCCTCCCTGCTCATACTCGGTATACAAGTTTTCTAACAACCCCTTTGTGACACTGGGTGCAACAAAAACAAAGATGTGTTTCCTTAGCTCAAATTAGCTAACTTCAGTTAAAATAGCATAAAACCATCATATTTTGGATGAGCAGATGGAGATCAATTTGGGAATCTCCACTGGGTCTGAATGAAGCAGCAAACCTGAGTTGCTTTGTCTTCATTGCTATTTTAACCTTGGCTAGCAAGCCTGGGCCAACCCACCCACGTTCACAGCCAACCTCTGTTTGCAATATAAACAATTCCCATGTCATGATGGATAAAGGGCAAATCTCTTGGATTTCATGAGGGAAAAGACAACTGCATTTGCCAGCCACTAGTTCCTAATAACCACCTGTCTCCTATTAGTGTCCTAACGAGGACTGGGATATGTCTTGGGATCTAATGACTGACCGGAGAAAAGGAGCCAAAGAGAAAGTGGAGAAAGCAGAAGAAAAGGCCCCTTTCAGGAGGGATGAGGGGTCTCCTGGAGACTGCACTTGAGCAGCAGACTGGGAGGGAGAGGATGTCAGCTCACGCTCTGACTTGATTCTTGAACGCAGAGCAAGCAATCGTGTGCTTAATTTAAATACACATGATGAGTTGTGAGAGTGGTGAAATGGCAAATAAATTCTAGGAAATTGCATATAAAGAGGAATCATTGATATTAAATCATCTAGGATGGATGTGTTTCAAATCTAGCTCACAGTTGAAACTGTTTTACAACTGTAGCTGTGGAGTTCTAACAAGGTTGTAGAATATCAGCGTATCTGCCAGGGATTTATTTTAAGGGTTGTAGGATGTTTATATAAATTAACGCAAATAAATTTAACATGTTGTTGTGATCTGAACCCTTAGTGATTCCCACCACACTTATGAGCACAAGAACCAACAACATTTGTGTATTTGTGTGCACATGCACAAAAGCAGGAGACAAGGAAAATGCACCTGGCTCCTCAGCTTCACAGGCAGGCTTTCTGCAGACCAATCCTTCAGGACAACAATACAATTTCTTAACATTAGTATCACGGCATTTCTTTTCAGTTCTCCCAAGAGATCACTTGTTTGATCTGATCTGCTTCCTGTCTGTATTATAAAGGAAGGACTATACAACCCAGCACACTCCTGGTACTTCATCTCACTCCAAGCGTTGGGTGCTAATTCCACCACCTCTGCACTGCCTGACTCTCCTGATGGTGCACGTGTTTGTGCCTTTGTGTGTGTACAAGCAGGCACATCTACTGGTGACAAGCCTGAACTGGTGGCTTTTCCTGATCTGCTCTTGACACAAAGAACAGGACTCTAGCCTATAGTTAACACCATAACACAGCTGCCAACATCAGCTCCCACCACTTTTTCTTCAGAAACCATATTGCATTTCTAGATTAAATACATCTCTACTTTTCAACTCTCTCATGACTATGGGAGGACATTCTCCACAAGAATTTGGCCACTGAAGCGCAGGGAAAGAAAAATAAAAGTTCATAATCTGGCTTTCTTCTTTGCCTACCTCCAGCAGATACCTGGAACATTTCAAAAAGGTTCATCCCAAGCATAGTCACTGAGCAGTTATGAAAATAATGGAAAACCTGTGGAGAACAAACTTCTAAAAGAGCCTCAGAGATTTTAGAAATGTGCCTGTTGACATAAATATGACTGCTAACATCCAAGCTCTGGAGCAAAGCATGTGCTTACATGCACTTAGTGGCCTCAACACCTCTCCTTAATTTAGGGATAATTCACACAGCAGAATCCTTTCATTGGTCCATGGGAAGGACTGCATACCCTTTTGAGCCCAAGCAGTGTAATCATTTCAGTTTTTAAATCACTCTAATTCATCAGTAATGTTTCAATGGGGTAAGGGCCACAAAACCAAAGAGCAATTACAGAAATGTGTTTTAGGTATTTAACAAATAAAGTAGAAGGTTTTTGAGAAACAGAAAGCAATGATACACTGACAGGACAAAAGGGAAAATGGGGGAAATGATATTTAAATCTCTGCCTCTCTCACGTTTGCCCTCCCTGACCATGGTTCCACTGTGGAAGCCATATGGCTTCCAACTCTCTTCTAAGTAGCCACTGAGAATTGTCTGTAGTGGAATTCTGCCAAAGCCCTTCTTGGTTTAATGACATGGAGAAGAGCGCTGCGCAGTGCTCACCCAGCACAGATTCGCTGTGTCCTTGATTATGATTCTGGAGCCAGCAAGCAATGCTGGGAATTGAACCAGCAGTGCCTCAAATGCTGAAGTCAACATGTGCCCTAACCCCTGCTGCAGTCAGCCTCTGTGCAAGGCATATTAATGAGTCTTGTGCTTGAGGTCCAACCATCGAGCCTGCACACAAGAAATTACCCAAAGATAAAAAAAAAAGTCCTCATCATCCCTCTAACCTTGCATGTAGATATTTCTTTATTCCCTAAGTTTGTTCAGTTCTTTAAGCAGTAACATTTTCCTTTAGGCCATCAATTGCACTTCTACCTGTATAAATACAATTTCTCTTTAAAGACTTGGAAATCTGTCCTGCAAACGTATTTAGAACAAAAACATTCAGCCAAGAGGGTATATGAGGGGAGAGATGACTCAGTGTTAACCCTCTTTGTCATATTGTATCCATAAATATCTGCTCAATGTTGGAGTCACGATATGGAGACAGATGAAGCTTTCTACTGCACGTTTTTATGCCTTATGGCTCTAGACAGCAGAAATGTATGGTTATTACTGTGGGAACACTCTTAGTCTAAATGGGAAAAAGGAGGGTGCACAGCCTCATGGCTGCTTTCACATACCAAGAAAAAAAAAAAAGCAAACCAACCGAACAAAAAAACCAATTACATTATTGGGACCCCCTCAATACTGTGGGCAACTGAAAGGCAGCTCAATAACTGCAAAAATCTGTGATGCATTAGCACTCAGGCGCATAACCCAACCTGGCATTGCTCAATCTTATTTTACTTGAATTTCCTCATTTAGAAACAAAAGCTGCAAGCATCCACTCATCAACTGGAATACTGGATTCAGGGAAAATTTGAAGTATTTATTTTGGTCTTGCAGATACCTGGGGCATAATGAAGGCTGGTTGCTAATTTTCTAAGGAACCACTTCTCTCCGTGTGTTTTTTTGGTGGCAGAGGCATTATGCACTTCAAAGATCACCTCCAGAAGGATGCTCTCTTTATTTGGAAAGGACTGCATCTCTGGAGGGAAATCTGATGACCTATGAAAGCTGTGTTAGTAAGACCTACTGCAAATCTGTCCAAAAGTCAGAGAAAGGGACAGCTTGTAGAGGATGAACAGAGCCAATGTAGAATGTAACTCTCCAGGGCAGAACGTTTCTCTGGTCATAAGAGGGAAGGACAACACATCATCAACCTCAAAACCACAGCCTACAGCCTTCCTACGCAAAGATAAAAGACTTAACGTTCCTGCAAAAAAAGTAAAATAAAAATCACTGAATTTAATTTCTACCAAGAAATAAAGTAATTTGTAGCATTCATAGTCTCTTCTTATCTTAGCAACACTTCAGAAACATTAACTCATTTAGGTCCACAAAAACTGACAATAAAAGCCTACATACAGCTTAGGAAGCTACAGAATAAAAAATCAGGAGATTAACTCAGCTACAAAGGCTACACTGAACTTGCATTCTTTGATGAATCTGGCCTGAGTTCTCAGCTAAAGCACTGCTCTGTGCCCCAGGTCTGCAAATTCACATCTTCCTTTGTGTAACTTGAAGGCAGTGCTCTTCCAGCATGCACACCCAGCCTATTTGCCTGCCAGGCACTAACTCACCAACAGCCATCGTGGCAGAGCAGACACTGCAAGGTGGCAGCCCACAGACAGTGCCACATACAGCAATAGCTCAGTGTCTCTGCACCTCAGTGCAGATCAGTGCTTTTTCAAATACCCCCACTCTTTCTCAAGCAAATCCACAAGATTCCACCAGAGCAAAATGACGTGAAAGTATAGGTAGCAAGAACAGATGTGGGCACAGACCTAGACAGCATGCCACAGTATAAGACAGAAGAACTGGAAGCCGTGTAAACTTCTTCCCCAGTTTTTAAATGAAATAAATCAACAAAACATCTCCCACATATTTTAATGCAAAAGAACACCAAATCGCTTCACGATACATTGCTCTAATTATTTCAGAGATCCTGAAATGAATCAGTATGCTACTATTATTATCTTAAAACAACATTCGGTGCAGCAGCACTAGACGCATATTCACTAAAGACCCATATTATTTGCTATTATCAACGGTGAACTCAAAATTACAATGGCACTATTGTGATACTAAAACCAAGAAGCATCATTCTGCTATGAATAAGTTGCTCGGGTTCCAAAATACCAATCAAAAACGTGCTTTTTATAAGGTAATTCAGAAGACAGAGCAGGATTTGATTTTAAGAAAGGCAGGGGCTGTTTGAGTCAGCGGTGACTCAGAGAGTCACAGAAGTCTTATAATGTTTGATATGAGAACTGCTTGACTTGGCCTCATTGGTCATGCCTCTCCTTCTGCTTAACTGTGCCAAGTACCGAACTCGAAGCGTTACACATACGGAGAGTCTAATATAAAACTCAAAAGGGTTTACTTTTAAACAAAAATACGCAGTAAACAGTTTTGCCATATTTAATAAAATAATAAACTTGATGCTGACCTTTGGCAAGCGTTCAGGGTCACCAGGGTGCCGGGGGATAACCTTCTGTAACCTTTGGAAACCATAGTCAATGGTGGGTTCATTCAGAGCTGAAACAACAACAAACAATGCAGTGATGTGACAAATGCATAGCAAACAGGCTCCATTGCACTGCAACAATCAGCACGGCACTGCCAGACCAAGCAAGGACCACAGCAAAATTTCCTCTCACTGAAATCAACACTGATTATGAAGTCTAGGATGAGGTTGGCTTTGAGACTTCAGTTGAACCAGCAATGCAAACCTTTCTCTTGAGTGCCTATGACAAAGTCTCTACAAAATTTGGGATGCTATATACACATCTACCAAATAGAAAGCAATTGTTATTTCTTAAGTCATGATGAAATTAAATTGATAAATGCTTTGCACCCCATGTTCATGTTGTCTATTTTTTCCTATTTTCCTGTTACAAGGAAGGTCCTTTGTAATGGGAAGACAGGTGAAGTAACTCTAAAGGAGCCTTCTCTTCTTTATTACACATTTTATATGATCCATGTGAAATGATCCTATACAATTCTGTTGTGAACTATAGACATTTGTCATGGCAGAGGCTTTATTTTTCACCCATTGAAATGAAGTAAAGACATATCTGCTACTGTATTCAATAGCCCAGCTCAGGCCTCAGTCAGCATTTAATCGTTCCGAAAGTTCTAATGATTTTTAAAAATTCATCTGTCGTTTTAGTTCATTTTTCCCCGGCCCTTGACCAGTAAAACAGAGGTAAACTTGAGGAGAGAGAGAGTGGAGGTAAAACACTTGAATCTTCAGGAGAAAGCTTGCCTGCTTTAATCATAGCTGTGATTGTGCCAAGCCTTTAAGCACATGCTTATCTGTAAGCCCGTACTTAAACTCATTTGCTTTCAGCAAAGCAAATTCGAGCATATTATGTTTTTTGTATGATTGCCTGTAATTACGGGAGACTGCATTGAATGACCTTCTAGCTGTATTTCCAGTCATATGATCGCTTTAAAACTCAGATGTTAGCGCGACTTCAACACATGCTGAAAATTTCCTAAGTGCTTTGGAGAACAAGAACAAAAGTCAAGCATCTTCAAGCATTTCTGAACAGTGCATCACGACCCTCCCATGCCAACAAAGACAACAAAACTTTCCACAGCAATTTATTAGCAAATGCTTTTTTAATTCAGTGAGAAAAAAAATGTGAGTTCTTCTTCCCACTATGATATTTTCAATTTTTAGGTTTTTTTGTTTTTTTTTTTTTTGTGTTGATATAGAGTTTTTTTGGGGGGGGGGGAGGGAAGGGGAGCAGGTTGTCTTTCATTTTTGAGTCATATTTGGTCATAACTTATTGTGAAAAAAAAAATTATTTTTTTGCACAAGTTCTGCCTATGAAATTACAAATACATCTTGCACCTTATGCCATGTTTTTTTTATGAACTTCTTCATGGAACTTGAATGATGCCATCTGATTCATGAAAAAAGATTTTGCATCAAAGTGCATCTCCCAGCCTCACTTGTAGTAAGCACTCTTATATGGCTCAATGCAGCTTTTTCTACAGTGAGTTACACAGCTTCAGTCTCATCTACCGTGACACAATTTGTCCAAATGCCCACATTTTAAGAGAAAAGCCCATTTTTTCATATTCTTAACATGAAAAATTGTTAGTCAGACCATACTGTTGTCACAAAAGTAATATCCCATCCCTGACTTGTTTTCGATTAAGTCACGTTTCATAAACAATCTCACAAAACAGTTCAGCTTCCAAAGAAATTGTTTCATTTTTATTATTTTCAAACCACTGTGGGCTCTGGGTAAAGAGTGAGAGTTCTGCACACAGTAGAAGCAGAAACTCAGCATTTCTCTAACAACACAAGAAAATATACTGAAAATATACTGAAATGACTATAGCATTATGGAGATACCAGACTAGAAGTCTTTCAGGACGTTAATTTCGGATCTACTGTCAGAAGTTATATTGCCCCAAAGACCCTGATATTTCTTTCATTCCCTCATTTTTTTAATGCATTTCCTTTAATTGAGAATGTCCGCTTTTCTGCTTGCCCTCATATGGAAATTGTGAGAATGAAGCTTTTCCCCTGATTGTGAGATTTCTCTTCTTCAGATAGCTGGCTAGTTCTTCTAATTTACATGTGAGCGCTGCTCCAAAAGCTCCTATTTTATGATGATGGCCCACAAGGGGAGAGATGGATGTTGATGGCACGGCAGTAGAGCCTGAACCTTCCTGCCATTATTCTGTTACGTTCTGTTTCCCCGTGAGAGAGATGGCAGCAGAAGGGCAGACTGGCACAACGGCATCTGACGTGGAAGTGTGTAAGAAGCAAAGGTGCATCACTGAATTCCATCATGCAGAAAAAAAATTGCACCCACTGACATTCACCAACGTTTGCTGAATGTTTATGGAGACCAAACAGTGGGTGTGAGCACAGTGAGGCAGTGAGTGGGTGGTGTGTTACAGCAGTGGCAACAGTGACCGTGATTACTTCTGCTGGTGTAGGTTGCTATGAGTGCAGCATGCAGCCTCTTGCTCAGTCCAGGGAATATGAATAGCTAACAAAGATGACTGTGTTGAAAAACAGTATTCTGTAGCTGAGAATTTGCATTATCAAACAGTGTTATTGTGCTCTTTGTCCATGGAAAGAAATAGGAGGCATTACTTTCAGAGCATCCTCTGAATGCTAGAAGATTTTTGCATGGTTCTGTCATACGTGTTTCTTCCTTAATGCAGTCTAGTTTATGGCCACTTTCCCCTTACATCCTTTGGGAAAGTAGTTACTAAATTTTGCAATATTATAAATGGAGGCCAGTTCTGAAATCCCCCAGGAGACAGCAGTCATTTTCTCATATCTTCCCACACATTCAACACATTTGAAATCCACAGAGTATTTCCTGTGAGTATTTTCTGAACTAAATGACCAAAAAAATGTTAATTTTATGGTCCAACCTCACAAGGCATCACGCATTCTCTGGAGGCACTGAATGCTTTCTGCTTCACATAGCTTCAGCTTGGTGGACTTTGTGGGGAAGGTGTGCGTTTGGAAGGCTGCAGTTGGCAGGAGTCCAAAACATCAGTTGTCAAAGATCACTCATTAGTCTCTAACCATTCAACCCTTTCAATCGTAGATTTTAAAAAGAATAAATTTAAAAAAGAAATCCTTAGCTGCCTGAACAGAAGATTGCATGGCATCAACCCTCCGTTCCTTATCCCAAGTCAAATGTAATTAGTCATATCTCAGAGAAAGATTCTTGTATAAATATTTAACCCCAAATTCTGCATTGAGGTCACACCAGTTCCTACGTCATTATCTCCAAAGGAAAAAAAACTACATTCTGGTCTCCAGGCACTGCAGCTCTCAGTGAGGCAGCAGGTTCATGCAAGGTTTTGCCTCTGTCCCCCGAGTGCAAGGCTGGCTTCCTAGGGCTCTAATTCAAAGAACATTTTTTTCCTTGATTAGAAAAAAGGAATCAATAAGGAATACAAATTCTCTATTTGTGTTCTTGACATCCATACATTAAAAACAAGCTAACACATACTGTACTTAAAATGCATTCCCACTACCCTAAATTTTAAAAGTACTATTGAAAGTACTACTAACTTTAAAAAGGTGTATTAAATTCAAATAGGTCCCAAGGCTAATGGAAGCAATTTGTATACCAACCCAAACTGACTGGCCCACTTTTCAAAATACAAGTATGATAATCTCGTGGTTTTAAAAGGACATTTAAATTGAAAGACTGTGAATTTAGTACATAATTATACCAATAGAACCCTTTAACTTGTCAACTTGTAAATCTAAAAGGCTATCAATCATTTCTAAAGAGGAAATAAACCTTAAAATTCTTTGATTGACAGTGCTTACTTTTTATGTGGAATAAAAAAAAAAAAAGAGGAGTAAAGTGGCCAGAAATCCATTTACAAAAGTACATTGTTTTACATAGGTGAGTAAAAAGCCAATAATTACACCTCCAAAAGACATATAAATCAAAGTAAGTACTTCTCCTTCACTTACATATTTTAAGTTGCAGTAAACTTCAGGTAACTTTTTATTAAAATACCTTTCCAAATGCAAAGCTTATTGAAGCCATTAATAGGGTAGCATTTTCATTTAAGCTAATATAATCATTTTTGCAAATACAAGATTTAAGCCATTTTTCTCCCTCCAAACAATAAACTTTCAGCCTGTCTCTTGTGTGAATTAGCTAAAATTACACCCAGGTGTACAGAATCTGTCTATCTATCCTAGAGTATGAGTTAAGGCACAATATTTATTATTCTTACCATTTTATGAATTACTTCTTAAACCCTTGAGGAAGAACTTTCTTTCAAATTAGACTCTAACAGAACAAGCCATGAAGCTTTTTATGCAGCAAGTCTAAAGCCATAACTCCTCACATCTAAGACTTTTAATCAAGAAAACACACAATGTCTATGGAAATAAGGATGCATACATTATATTCACCTTTTCGAAGTCCATCTTATTTTTCAACAGAAACACTGCTTATACCTTTGAGAAAGACATCTGCACTGTAACTATGATTTCAAATTCTGCACGGATAATTTTAATAACTACGTGTAGATAATTCAACACTCCCTTTTTTTTTTTTAAACTAGTCAGTGGAGGCCTTTTTTTAATATTTCACATAATGAATTCCTACTGTGTCAATAAAGCTTTGGTTGTTAATTGAATGACTGTCTGATGTATCTGAGAGAGGAATTTCTTTCTCTGGCCATGCTGCCAACTTACAGCAGAATGATCGACACTTAATATCAGCAATTAAAAGGACCTGTTCAAATATCATATGGAATTCGTAGCTTGGGGTAGTGTAGGAGAACTCTTCACCGAGGAAAACTCATTCAGTGAAGGCAGAGAATAATTGAATTAGACACATTTTAACATTATTATTCAAAGAAAAATAAACACACGCTACATAGAAGCATTATGGAAATATTTCAGAACATAAACCATATCCAGTTAATTTGTTTCCCATGCATTCATGGTTTCATTTATTCTTTTTATTTTTCAGCCCTTGTTTCTTCTGCATTCTGTTTGACCCAAAACCAATGAGAAA